AAAAACGTACAACAGTCAGTCCCTCGCCCCTTTTGCTGCATTTTCTTTTTTGTGAATGATTCATTTTACTTTTTTACTTCTTCAATTTCCTCACTGCTTGTTGAAGACCTCTCTCCTTCCCTGTCCTTCCTTTTTAGTCAACCGTGACCTCGCTGGTTATTTCTTGCCTCCTATCTTCCAGCCTCTCCAGCTCGGTCTTTGGTGGCTGTCACTCCCCTCTTCAACAACGTTGTGATCGCCATTCCTATCCGTGGTTGTTCCAAACCTCACCGCCGTACCCGCCATCAGTGGGTGTGCTTCTGTGGTTGCAGTTCCAGCTCCAGCTGCTGTCGCGCCTGCAGTTACCTGCGCTGCAGTTCCACCGGCCAGATGATCCACTACCGCAAACCCCCCGATCTTGAACTTTGGCCCCAGGCCCCGGCCCCGTCCCAGACCCTGACGTCCTTGACCACCTCGACCTCCTCTCTCTCCAACAGCCTAGACCTAGTAAGACTTCTGATCATCGTCTGCAGCCTCCTCAGCCTCACCTCGTATTTTGCCCACGGACAAGGTGGTGACTTGTCTTTCTATTCATCATACCTCGCCGCCTCCCTCTCCGCCTCCAGCCTCCTCATCCTCTCCTCCTCGTCCTCCATCGAGATAGCAACCACTTCTCCTCTTCCCCTGGCGGTCCTACCACCATTGCCACTTTCCTTTCTCCTGCTCTTCGATTCCCGCTCGTTGTCATCCTTGTCAGCACCGCCGCCGCCACCGCCTCGGCTTTCCCGACTGCGCTTGCTGCCAGCTAGACTAAAGCTCGATGCAAGACTAGCCATTCGCCTGGTCTCCTTAAGCAAACGCTCGCGATCACGGGCAGCGCGCTCGGCGGCATGCGGGTCTAGAGAGCCGTTGGCTGCTGGTCCTGGACCAGCACCGGCACCGGCAGCGTTGTGGGAAGAAGAAGCGAGCGAGGAGCGGCGGTCGGGGTGGACGCCGTCAGCTGCAGTAGTGCCATCGACGACATCGTGGGCATTGGAAGAAGACTTCTTAGAGGAACGATGTCTATC